TGGGGGAGGGGCATGGAAGGAGGAAACAGCCAAAGGCTGGGTATTGCTCCTCTGGGAGCACATAGGTGTTGGGGGAAACACACACACACACACACACACACACACACACCATGCATAGGCACACATGCATAAGCAACCTGAGCACACACACATGTGCACACACTCTGAACCCTATAAACCCAGATGCTTGCAGCCACCCATGGAGCCACACATACCTACACAGGGTGCACACACATACCTGAGCCCACACTCAGACTTCTTCTGGGCCCCTCCTCCTCACAAGTTCACATTGTTCAGTGCTTTCTGAGGAAGACTGATCAAAGGAAAAGAGAGAGGATGGGAGGGCAGGGAGGGGCAGCTGGGGCCAGTCACTTCAGCCCCGTTATGTGAAACCTCAACCAAGGCAAGAAGGGTCCCCAGCACTTCCACACAACCCCATCTGTCCCCACTCCAACTCACCTGCAGGCAGGCCACTCCGATGCCCACTGCTCCCATGAGCAGCAGGTGGTCGGCCAGGAACTGCTCCAGCTTGGCCATGCACCCTCCCTGTAAGGTAAAAATGGTTTACTCAGGCTTGGCCCAGTGGCCAGCATAGGAACAGAAATGCTGACTCCTACAGTGCCCAACCAAAGCTGAGGGAGGTCAGGGACCAAAGGGTCTGGACCCAGACTTACAATTGCTCCCAGGCATCTTAAGGGGCCCCAGAGGCAGGTGATGGTGTCCAAGATGACTAGTGGGAGCTGCCCTCCCCAGTGCTCTTGTGGGCACAGGCCCTGTGGTCTCATGGCCAGGAGTGTGTTTTGCTTTTCCCATATCTGTGGAGCTGGCCTTTCCAGGGTCCTCCCCATGCCCCCTAACTCAGGTACTCACCTCCACCTTGTAGATGTTGGAGGGGTGGACCCGCTGGCCACAGCGTGCCACCACCGTCTTGCAGCAGCTGTCAGGCACTTGGCGGCCCTCGGCCTCCTGTGACAGGATGTACGCGCTGTGCTGCCAGTCGGCTGAGCTATTGCTTCCACAGCACTTGAACTGGAAGGAGAGGTGGAGGCTGGAGGTGACAGGGGCCTGTGTGGGGCTCCCTGCCCCTAGAGTGCAGGGACAGGCTATTTGGGTATTAACCTGGCCCACTGGTGTCCTCCCTGCCATTTTCCTTCCCTGTTTGCAGCAGGGCATGAGGCTCTTGGGTCTTCACAGGCCTGGTGCAGGAGTTGCCCACACAACACCTGCTTGCTCCCTTGTGTTGCCCCCTAAGACCTGTAAGGAGCATCCTAGGGCAAGCAGAATTTGTGTGATGAACAGGCAGACAGACATGGGAGTCTCGTGACAGCCAGCGTCCAGGGCAGGAGAAAACTGCAAAGGGGAGGTCTCCAGGTCACCCAGAAGGAAGGGCCCAGACAGGGACTCAGTCTGGCCAGAGGTTCCCTATCCCCATTGCAGCTTTGCCGCTCAGAGCCTCCAGACCACAGGGACACAGAGTGTTCAGAGCCCACACAGTGAGCAGGCCAGTCAGCACTGACCACGGGGGCTGGTATGAGTGCTCAGTGTGACCCAGGTGGTCTGCAGCACCCCAGGACTGGGAGCATCAGCCCAGATCTGAGGTGATTCACAGAACAGACTTGGTTACTTCTGGCCCTTCAGAACTGGGGCACTGAAGTCCTAAGTCCCTGCCCAGGCCAGGGGATATGGCTGAGTCCAAGCTGCCTCTGGTGTGTGGGTTGGTGGGCCAGGTACAGAACATTTGGTATAGGGAACAAGGGTTAGGTATCTACCAGTGCCCAGATGAATCAGAGACTGGGTTTGAACACTGGTGGGTTGTGGGCCCGTTGCACACAGCTTACCACTTACTGGTGTTTGGTAGGAGAGAAGACAGAGGCCATGTGTGCACAGGAGGAGTATCACAGCTCTGACCAGGGCCAGAAAAGGCCCCTTGAGGGTGAACAGGGGTCCCACGTAGAACATGATGGCACACAGAGCACACACAGAGCACACACAGAACCTGACAGTGCATATACAGCACACATAGCACTTGACAGCACACAGAGACCAGCACGGCATGTGCACTGAGTCCAATGGGAATTGTACGTTCTGTATTTCTGCATGTATGTGCTGGTGTCCTGCAACTGTTGTGTCACTTGTAAAATGGAGGACAACAAGAGAACCATGTCCAGTACCAAGCGTTGGCAGAGCCAGAGGTTAGTAAGACACACTACTGCCTCCATCCTACCTGTGTGAACTGCGGTCCGTGTGCACGCACATTATTTGCGTACATGTGGTGCCTCTTGGAGGACCCACAGCTGACCTGGCTCTGAAGCCACCACTGTCTTGGGGCTGAGTGCTGACTGTCCCCAGCATGTATGATGCCTATGCACGTCCTAATTAGCAACCTGGCTTTCGCCCTCAGCTGTCCTTTCCCATGCTTGTCCCCTCCTCAAGCTGCCATTCCTAGGCCAGCCCTGCTCCCAGCCACCTCCCTCATGGGCTCCCCTCTTCCTCCCTTGCTGTGCTCTGAGTTGCCCTACCTAGCACTGGCTTATGTCCCTGCTGTGTGCCCAGCTTTTGGACTGAGCCTCGTGGCAGGGCTTCTGTCCTACTCTGTCACACAGCTCCTCACGTGTGGAGCTCTGCTGTGTGGGGCCCAGCAGGTGCACACTTAGTTTTGGATAGCAGTGTGGGCACCAGGCCCTGGCTGAGCATGAAAGGCTGTGCATGTGTGTGTGCACCTGTGTGTACACACATTCTACTGGCCACTGTCTCAGGAAGAGACCACTTTGTGCAGCCCCAACTGGGAAGTGAGCCTGAGTCTGGTGGGAGATGGAGAGGGCACACCATTGAGCCATGATGACCTAGAACTCAGGACCCACTGACCTCTACTTCCTCTAATTGCCTGAAGTTTCCAGGTCCAAGACCAAGGCCACAGGCCTGGCATGGGGTGTTAGGGAGAAGGGGACCAGGGTGGGCAGGCAGAGCTGCCTCTGATTTTCCAAATATGGAAACTTTAGGATCTTACAGCAGCAATGGCCAATAGAACTTTTCTCAAAGAAGAAAATGTCCTAAATCTGAGCTGTGCAGTTGGGTGGCTCCTCTCCATGTGATTGCTGAGCACTTGAACCTGGCTAGCATGATGCAGGACTTGAGTTTTGCAGTTATCTTTGTGTGTAAATGGCCAAGGGTAGCTGGCGGCCGCCATATTGGAAAGCACAGGTGTGAGGGGCTCATCCCCCTGACAGCCATGACTGTGATCATGGGCCTCACTGGAAGGACTTGCTGTGTCTCTTCTTGGAAGACAGAGACCCAATCACGTCCCTCAGTGTTCTGCCTGAGGCTCCAACCAGAAAGTTCTTCAACTTCTTCCCTTGAGCTACATCTGCTGCTATGGCTTACTCTTTTGGGACCTAGCTCCCTGAGGAAGGAGAAAAGCAGCCCACAGACAGAAGGAGTCAGAGAGGTGCTTTCTGGCCTGCATCTTGGCCAGGAGATGCTGCTCTCCTCCTGGCACGGTCAGCTTCCTGCCCCAGGGGACCCAGAATGGGAAGGCAGTGGGGGTGGTTTTGGAGGAGGTGGTCAGGGAGCTGTGGTGGAGGAGGATGAAGGAAAGGAACCAGGGTTCAGAAAGCACTTCCCATGGGGGCTGGGGACAGTTACAGATATGTTCAAAATTACTGCTCATATATCCCACGAGGTTCATGTTAGAGATGTGTCAATGGAAGCTCAGAGAGGGTGAATAACTTGCTCAGAGTCACACAGATGGGAAGAGACAGAGTCAGAATGTGAACCCGTGTCACTTGGTGGCTTACATCCTGCTGTAGACGGTCCACTGAGGCCGTGATTTCCAAGGCCCTGGGCTGCCCGTAGCTCTCGGTCAAGGTGTGGCTCAGGTGCTGCTTCAGCTCATCGCTCAGCTGAGGGGAAGCATGAAAGGGCATCAACAGAGCCCCACCACCCCAAGGCCCAGGTGTGCCTTGCCAAAGCCTCACCAGCCAGCTCAGGACACTGGGGGCTAGAGAGCTACCACAGCAGGGGTCTCAGACAGTGTCAAGGGACCCTCTATGGGGTAGAGCCAAGAATGTTCACAGGGAGGCTGTTGTAGAGACTGGGTTGACATGAGGGCAGAGCTGAAACTGATGCTGGGGAGGAGACAGTTCACAGTGTCACAGCCAGAGACACAGGGATGCCTCCTAACGCTGTGAACTGGAATTTCCATTTCAAGGTGATACTGGAGATATAGATGCTGGCTTCAAACCCTGCACAGTCATACTGTCTCTCTCAGTTCAACAACACCCTGCCCATGACCTCAAATCCCCAATTCAGAGGCCGCTGGGGGCGGGGGGATGGCCCACCTCATCCTTGTCCAGGCCATGCAGGCAAGGCCCTATTCTATCTTTAGAGTCTTACAGTTCACCCCGTTCCCAGCCTTGCTCCTCCGATGTCTTTGGCCCATGGATTCCTCCTCTACCTATGCGTGGGGGTGGGTAGGGGGGATGGAGGGAGGACTCAGTGTCCCAGGAGAAACTCCCACTCCAGCCTCATGTGACACCAACAGATGTTCAGAGACTGGCCGGACCCAGTACAAGCAGACAGGATCCAGATGTGCGAGGACTATTGGGATCTGAGAATCATGACAGCCCTGTGTGTCTGCCTTAATGTCCCCTCGCACCACACACCCCAGTCCCTTGCTGGATGCTTCTTTAGAATGTAGAAAGAGGACACTATCTACTTACCTTCTGGTAGTACACATGAGCCAGGACACCTGCCACCAGCTCAACCAGGAAGATGATAAACAACAGGCAGAAATACTAGAAGCAAGGAGAGGAGATGGTCACGACCAGGGACCAGGGCACTGCTATGACAAATGTTTCCAAAGAAATGGGGGTGGTAGAGATACCTGCTGGGGACCCCAGTTTCCCCTGCCCCATCTTTCTCCTCTTCCCTGCTTTCTGGACATAACAGCTTCTGCTGGCTGCTTCCCATGAACCCCTCTGTTCCTTGAGCTGCTGGCCTCCCAGTAATCCATCCACTCATTCAATGTTGACTGAATACCTGCTGGATGCCAGGTACCAGGCACCATAGGTATGGCTCATATTTCTCTCAGAGTTATTGGTGTGGGGACAGATGCCTAAGTGGTCAAAATGCTGAGTTATAAATGTTACCACAGAATAAGCTGTAGCTATAATGGGAGTCTCCTGGTGAGAGGGGAGTTAGAGAAGGCTTCCTGGAGGTGGTGACACCTGAGTGGCCTAAGCATGAGGAGGCATTAGCCAGGTGAAGGCAGGAAGCACACTCCAGGCAGGGGGAGAGCATGTGTGAAGCCTGGACCCTGCAGAAAGTATGGGGCATTTGTGTTCAGGGAGGGGCAACAGCTGGAGAGTAGGGATGGCTGGTTGTTGCAACCAAGGTCAGGAGAAAGCAAGGATAGAGACCCAGGGAAGGTAAGACCTGTGCTGTCTTCCAGCAGTCCCAGTCGGTCCAGTCAGTGTTTGGCCCTCCTGAAGCTACCCAGGCCATTGAACTGGATATACTCTCCCTCACTCAGGAGTTCTCTGCCTTCTCATGCTCCCCAGGGCCCTCTGACCTGTGTGGCAGGACAAGGGGTGGCCTTGGCAGGGCCGGGGGAGTGGAGGGCAATTTGAAGCCAGTAAGACAGACACACATGTCAGAGGGCAGGGACTGCCATTCATCCCAGGCCTCCTGGGTGCACACCTGAGCGCCCTTCGAGATGAAGTGACCCAGCCACTGACAGCAAGGAGAATAGCATCCTGCCATCTACCCTCCCTTATCACCATTATGTGTTGTGCGTCACATGCAGGTGACAGTCCTGAAGATGTGGCTCTGTTGTGCTGTTACCCTGGGAAGTTTTGCTATGCCTGCTACTGAAGACAGGTGGATAGGGGGCTGTGTGTGGTGGGGTGGGGTGGGGGGGAGGCAGGAGGGAGACAGGGAACCACACCCTGCAACATCATGACAGGCAAAATTAGCAGAGGCTGTTTGGAGCCATCCAGCAGGCCATGTGACCCGACAGGGCCATCAGCAAGGGGAGGGTGTCAGTGGTGTGCGGAGGGTAGAGCCCCAGTGTGTTGAAGATGCCCTCAAGGGAAGCGAAGCCAGGCCTGGGGCTTAGAAGGAACCAAGGCCTGGGTGCTTGGTGAGCACACTGTTGGCTTCAGGCAGCAGCTTCTGCAGCAGGAGGCCTGCAGGTGTGTGACTCACCTGGGCGGGGGAGGCCCTGAGTCACAGTTCCTGGAAGCTGAAAGGGCTGGGCTCACTGAGGTCCTCCCACCTGGACAGCCCTGTAGCCCTGTCCCTGGCTGGACAGAGTCCCTGGGCAGTGTGGCCAGGTGCTGGAGTTTTGCCTGAGAGGGCACCAGCTCTAACCAAACACTTCCTCTCTGCCTTTCATCCTTCACCTTCCTAAGTCCTTCCAGACGCTGGGTCCAGCAGAATCATCTCAGGACTTCCATGGCAGAAGCCACAGTGCCTGCACATTTGAGATGCACAGTTCCCTCACACAGTCCATGCTGCCCAGCCTGTGAGCCTTTGCCCTTCCTGTTTCCCCACCTGGAGTTCTAGTGCCTACCTCTCCTTCTCTTCTGGCTCCACCACACCATCCTGGCTGGCAGCAATGGTCAGGTGCACATGTGCCTTGCCAGCCTGCTCCCCTGCCTGACCCAACACTGCTGGCAAGGCCTGTTCACTACCACTTGAGCCACTCCACCACCCTTTTTTGTGTTGCTCATTTTTGATACAGGGTTTTGCTTTAATGCCCAAGCCAGCCTGGACCACGATTTTCCTATTTGTGCCTCCTTGAATAGCTGGGATTACAGGCATGAGCCACCACACCTGGTTCTGATCCAGCACTTGTTGCTTGCTCCTTCCCTCTGTCCTTGGGCTACCTCTGTGACCTTGCCTCTGCCTGTCCGATTAGGCCTCTCTGGATGAACGACAGAACTGTACCCCCTGCTCTGTCTCAGCTCCTCTGCAGCAGCAGGTATCAACCACCCATCTCCCAAAGGGCTGTGGGGACAGGGACCACACCTTAGTTTTCTCTGGCTTCCCACACAGTGCCTGGTATGGTGTTGGGCCTAGATACAAGCTCAGGAAACACCTCCCGGCCTAGAGGACTGTGTTTTCTTGGGAAGTGGGACCATGAGCCAACAGGGCTGCCTAGAGAATGCCTGCCCTATGCTGGGCAGTAGTGAAGTCTTTTTTTTGTCCCAAGGACAACACAGAACCTTAGTTACATTTCTAACATTTATAACACGGGTTCTCAGTCTGGCACAGTTTTCCCCCAGGGGCTATTTGGCAGTGTTTGGAGTCATTATTTTTTTGTTCCAACTGGTAGAGAAGTACTATGAGCTCCTAGAAGGCAAAGCTAGGGTGTTGCTGACTTTTTGCAAGGCACAGGACAGTCCCCCCACTCACCCTCTGCAAAGAATTATCTGTCCTACAACGTCAGAAGTGCCAAAGTTGAGAAAGCTGGATATACACATTTGCCTTCAGGGTTTTAGGCTGATGCTGAGTCCTGATTTGCATATCTGTCGCTGAGTACTATGAGGGGCACAAAAAAGAGTTATTACGTCTTCAGAAGCCAGAAACGGAACACGTGATCGAAGCACGTGAGGGGTTTTACCCTGTGCCTGCCTGGAAGGGCACCTCTTTGGCATGAACTTGCTCATCTTGACCCAAGCAAGGGTCAGGGTCATCTGAAGAAACCTCAGGAGTGCTGGGACCAATGTATTTACACTCTGGAAAAAAATTTGGAGGCTACTTAAAAAGCTAGACATCAATCTACCATTTGATCCAGCAATACCACTCTTGGGGATATACCCAAAAGACTGTGACACAGGTTACTCCAGAGGCACCTGCACACCCATGTTTATTGAGGCACTATTCACAATAGCCAAGTTATGGAAACAGCCAAGATGCCCCACCACTGACGAATGGATTAAGAAAATGTGGTATCTATACACAATGGAATTCTATGCAGCCATGAAGAAGAACGAAATGTTATCATTCGCTGGTAAATGGATGGAATTGGAGAACATCATTCTGAGTGAGGTTAGCCTGGCCCAAAAGACCAAAAATCGTATGTTCTCCCTCATATGCGGACATTAGATCAAGGGCAAACACAACAAGGGGATTGGACTATGAGCACATGATAAAAGCGAGAGCACACAAGGGAGGGGTGAGGATAGGTAAGACACCTAAAAAATTAGCTAGCATTTGTTGCCCTTAACGCAGAGAAACTAAAGCAGATACCTTAAAAGCAACTGAGGCCAACAGGAAAAGGGGAACAGGTACTAGAGAAAAGGTGAGATCAAAAAGAATTAACCTAGAAGGTAACACCCACGCACAGGAAATCAATGTGAGTCAATGCCCTGTATAGCTATCCTTATCTCAACCAGCAAAACCCTTTTTCCTTCCTATTATTGCTTATACTCTCTCTACAACAAAATTAGAAATAAGGGCAAAATAGTTTCTGCTGGGTATTGAGGTGGGGCGGTGGGGGGGAGACGGAGGGGGCGGAGTGGGTGGTAAGGGAGGGGGTGGGGGCAGGGGGGAGAAATGACCCAAGCCTTGTATGCACATATGAATAGTAAAAGAAAAAGGAAAAAAAAAAAGAAAAGGGAAGTTGAAGGGTGGAAGTTGAAGTTACTTTATATGCATAATGAAAGCCATTAAAATTGTTTAGAAAAGGTGAGAGAGGGATTAAAAAAAGTAACAGGGTAAATTTAATAAAAGTACATTACATGAGTGTATGAAACTATCAAAAAAAAAATAAAAGAAGCTATAGATTCCTTCAGTTGCCCTTAGATGGGGGTGGGGTGGGGCATGCATTGCCATGAAGTTTGTATAAGAGGGTAAGTCCCGGAGGTCTGAACAAAGTTCTGGAATCATCTTTTGCCTTCTTAAAGTTAGTTTTGGTATTGTTTTTTAGATTACTAAACTTAAGCCAAATGGCAAGAAACTCTGTGATAACGTGCAATTTGGAAGAATTACGTTTCAGTGTGAGTTAGTATTGGCTCAGGTGCGCTGCCTTGCTTCTCAGAACCTAGGAGGGAGAAGCCAAGGGCAGGCCAGGCAGTTTTCCTATAATGGGGATGGGGAGAGGCTTCCCTTGCACTAACCCTTCCTTGGCAGCAGTCCTCACTCATCCAAGCAGCCCTGTGTACCACAGTGGGGGCTCCATGGAGATGACAGCTGGCCTCTGTGAGTGCTCCCCAGGTGCCAGCCCCTCCCGTGAGCACGTCACACCATCGTCCCCAGCCTACCCCAAGATGAAGGCTGGCATTATTCCTCACATCACCTGAGCATGGGCGTCAGGCTCTTCTTATGGATGCGAGCACAGCACACGTGCCTGGGGAAGCTAAGCAGCTTGTCGAAGGTCACGTGTCAAGTTCACGGCTGAGTGGGACCGGGAAGGCCAGGTTTTTGGCACAGAACCTTGAGCTCTTACCCACTCTGTGGCACTGTCCCCACTACACAGCTGACAGATACGTGGATAAGCTTGAAGGGTGGATTCTGCATGTTAGGAAGTGTGACTCTGGTGGGCACGGGGGTGACCAGTGCTTCTTCCAAGGACAGGGTGTCAGGAGAGAAGAGTCAGTGGGTGCATCATGGGAGAACAGAACCTGCCCTGCTCAGCCCCCAGCCCAACTTCCAACTCTACTCTGATTTGGGGACCAGTCTGGCACTGCCAACTCTGGGCTGTTCCAGTCCTTCCAGAAACAACTCTGTCTGATGGAAACCAGTAGCGGGAATTCCAAAGAAAGATCTTAAAGAACATTAAATGCACGTA